GGGGAAAGGCAGAAGCAGCAAATTGTGATAGGGCAGCAAAGAAGAGGATACACAGATGTTAATAACTGCTACCAGAGGCAAATTGTGCAGGCAACGTTAACTGGCAGGGTGAGGAACAGCAGGAAGCTCTGTGGGAGAAGGAGGGAGAACTGGAGGGGTTTTTCCTACAGCCCAGTGACGGGTTAATTTGACTCTACAAATAACCAGTGGAACCTGTTGGCATAGCACTCACAATTCCATGGCCCGAACTAAGGGAGCAGACCTCGCAGCTCAGCTCAGGGCTAGCAGACAGTGAACATGCTATGGAGAAAAATGACAACATCTTACAAACTGCTCCCTGGATCAATGTCTTACCAGAGTGAATCCCACCACAGTCACTGTCACCGCGAAATATGTCCCCTGCCTCTCTGGGTTCTGGGTTGCCTCTGTAGGACCAGGAACCCATCATCCCCTTGTCCCAAGTCTCTATAGACATCCAATCTGCATGTCTTCTCTCTGTCCACTCATTGACAGGGTGCATTCTATGCATAATGCCTCCTTAATGCTGAGAGCAGCTGCCTGCTCCTAGGGCAGTGGTTCCCAAACTGGGGTTCGTGAACCCCTGGGGGTTCACCAAATGTTACAAGGGGTTCTTGGAAAAAAAATTCCCTAATGGTGGACAGAACTGTCCCTAGGAACCCCAGCAGCATGGGGCCAGTAGCCAGGAGCCCCTGGACTTCCAAGAGCTAAGCAGATCAAAGTAAGCAGATCTATCACACTGAGGAGATTTACACTTCAAGACTCCTTATAAGAAATGGAAAGGGAGGTGGATATTTGTTGCTGTTTTCAAAATCAAATAGGCAGCTAGTATATTATGAAGAACAAGTTTAAGCTTTGCTGTAATGTGCGTTTTTGTCTGGACTGCTCAAGCCCTGAATGCTTGTGTAGAAGGAACTCTTTGAATCGGCTTCTTAAATCCCTTCCTGCTGTTTCACATCTCATACTCCTTGATGAAACCTAGGAGCCTTGTCTTATAACAGGGTTATTCAAAGTGATACGAGCTATGAAAGTGAGATCTTGGAAGAGTGTTGTCATTTTCATAACGTAATAAAAATACTGGAATGATAATTAATAATTAATAATAATGTGTAATAAGCATGCCACAAAAACAAATTTTATATTTCCAAGGTCACTGCTTTTATAATTTATACTCAGGTAAAGGAGAAAATCCCTGGAAATATTCATTTTTAGGAGGGGGTTTGCAAGACTTGACATTTTTGTGAAAGGGGTTCACAGGTTGTTAAAGTTTGGGAACCACTGTCCTAGGGGAATGTGATTTCCTGGAGAGGGAGGGTCTGGGGCAGGTGGCTGCAGTGCAATCCTTTTTATTTATTTATTTGGTTAATTTTCATAAAGAAACAATAATCCCATTTATTTATTGGTTGATTGATTAATTTGCATGAAGAGAGAAACAGAAAACACAATAAAAATATAAAAAGGAAAATGACTGACAGCTTGACTGAATTACCCAACACCGCACGTCTCACAGGACAGCCAATAACATTATTCACTAACACAACTTCACAAAGCTGCCAAACTAGACCATGCAAAATCAGACAGAACATGCTGGGGGTAACCAGGTCCGCTGACAGCAATTCCGGACCCCAGGGCAGAACAGGCACTGGTCCCCCTATAAAAGGATGGCCAAGGTTTACAACACTACTTTTTATCCTATGGATAACACATTAGAACCCACTATGTGTAAATTGTGGCGTTGCTTGATCTAGTTAACTTTTTTATCTTAATTTTTATTTTAAAAATACATAATTCTCCCATCTGCCCTGGGATCTTTTAAAACACCGGGCCCCTGGGCAATTGCCCCCGCCCTTGGCGGCTCTAGGGGATGAGGATACAATAAATAATAATAACAGACAGACAGAGGTCAGACTTAATGCGATCCATCTCGCTAGGACCCAGGAGGCGCCGGGCGGAGCGATTCCCGGGGTCACTCCGCCTGGCAGCAGGAAGTGAATTGCAGTCGCTGCAGTGACTCTGTTGCGGAGCAATCTACATTCTTTGCAAGACCCCAGAGCCCTGGCTGCAGGCGGGGGAGGAACATTCCCGCTGCTCCCCGAGAGACTGTCCCAGTGCAGAGACCCCAGCCTGTTCCACTCCCCCCTTACTGGGACCCAGAGCCCTGCTCCTAGGCAGAACCCCGCGTGGAGAGAAGGTGAGACCTGCCCACCATCCCCGTCCCCAGGGAGAGACGCTCCCGGTGCAGCCTGTCTGCAGGGGTAGGGGGATGCCCCAGGCTGCTCCCAGCTGGGCTGGCTGCGTTTCCCTGCATTGTGCAGAGGAAAGCTGGCTGCCCGCTCTCATGGTTTGCAGGGAGTGAGGGATTGGGGGTGGGGCAGCGACATGTGGGGAACCAAAGGGGGGTGGGAGCCTGAAGGGGGCTGAAGAGGGACCGGGGGTGTGAGAGCCGGAGGGCATTGAGGGGTGAACGGGGTGTGTGAGGGGGCAGGAGGGGGGTGAACAGGGATTCAGGGGGTGGGATAGGGATGTGGGGCTGCTGAAGGGAGGCTGAGGGAATACCCAGGAACCAGGGGGCAGGGTGAGAATTCTGGGGCTCAGGGGAACAGAGCTGGAATAGATGGAAACTGAGTGGGGGGATAAAGAGAAGGAAAAGGGGGGCTGTGGGGAGGCTGGAGGGAGAATATGAGAGCAAGTGGAGACTGGCTGGGGAAGGGAGAGCAGGAGAAGGGAGAGGGATGGTGAGAGATACAATGGCAGCTCCCCCAGCCCATGGGGTAGGAGGCTGCCCCGCTTAGCAGCCAGTGAGGAATCTTTTTCCCTAGAAATGGTCAAACAAGCATTGGAGGTGGCTGAGCAGGGGATTTCCCCTTGAGGGCTCAAAATTTACAAGGCAAATATCCCCCCTCCCTGACCACACACTGCTCCCAATTTAGTCTTTGATATTTTTAAGACAATGTCATTATTTGGGGGTCTGATTCGGGAATGTTAAATGTTTGGGGTTGACAGGACTGAACCGGGCCCTGCTCTGATTTCTGTACAGGATTCTGTTTCAAACCAGAGTCACTGAAAACAACAGCAGGCAAGGAGTCCAACTGGTATTTAATTTCAGGTTTTTTCTGTTCAGTTCGGGTTCAGTCAGTAAAACAAAACTTTGGTTCAGGTTCGGTTCCGGTTCACGTACGAAATCCCGGTTTGAACTGGTTCTCTGGTTGCAGTGTGAGTCCAGATGGCAAATGAGATCAGCATCGGCCTGGCTGTCCCTTGGGGGCTGCAGGGGCAGCATAGGGAGGCTCAGTCATTAGCTGCCCTAAGCAGAGGGCTCTGGTAGTTGCTAAGGCAGAGGAGGCCAGTGTCAGTCTCTTTTTGTGCTCAGCATACTGCAACCCTAGAGCTAGCTGGGCTTCCTGGGGTAGATGCTGCTGCCTCCATTGTGATCTAGGAGCCCGGGCGGAGCTGCTGCCCAGCGGCGCCTGTGCTGGGACAGACCATCACTAACGTCCCCTCTATGCCCAGCCGAGGGGGGTCTTTCTGCTGTGACTGAAACCAGCCCCGGGCTCTGCTGCCACCAGCTCCTAAGCTAGAGACTCCAGGTGATGACAAAGTGCTGGGGCCGGACAGGAAAGTGACTCTGCACAAATGGCCCCTCCTCACCCCATCTCTGCTCCCTGTGTGTCCTTGACTCCCAGAACTGCTGCTCTCACTGATGCAGCCAGGCTCACATTCCTGTTAGCAGTGCATTAGGTAATGGAGAGGAAACACCTACAGGAATGGCAGGACAGTAACTAGTTCTTCCATGCCAAAGGGGGAGTGGAGAGACTGGAAGGGGCAGCAGGAGCAATAACTGGGGAGGGAGGTTCCCGGCTCCCAGATCTGCCCAGCCCCATTCCCTGCAGCACCCCGGGGCAGATTGACTTTCCTGGGACAAGGTGAGGAGCAGAGAGAGGAAAAGCCAGTTCCTGCCTCTGCCGAGTCCCTGTGCTGCTGGGGGAATGTGCTGCCCTGGGAACAGTGTCTGGAAAGTTGCTCCTTTGATTCTGCTCCTTTCTAGTGTTTGGCTCAGAGACACTGTTCCAAGAGGGTTTAAAAGTGTCTTGTGGGTTTAGTCCTGGTGAGAGGGGTCAGGTCTGTGTTGTAATATAACTGATGAGTCTTTTCCCACTATGGCAGAGTCTAGAGTGTCTGTCTGACGGGAAAGAGCCTGGAGGGAATCAGGGTGTGAAATGGACTAACGCTAATTCAAGAAACCTCCACAATTGCCCTTCTCACCCTGACAGGCTACAGAATAACAACCCCATTTTGCTCCAGATCATCCCATCCTTCCAGGGTCCGGAGCAGGGAAATGGCTGTGGTGGATCCTGCTCAGGTAGGGGGTGTTGGAGTTGCTGCTGGGGATGGGTGTTGTAGAGGGGGGCGGGACAGGAAATACACAGGGTGAGGCAGGGAGGGGGACAGGGTGTGTTAAACCTGCTGGGATATATGAGCAGGCACATGTGGGGGTGGAGTGAAAATTCTCCCATTTCTGAAACCAGAAACAAGCCCCTGGACAGGGTTGGGAAAACAGACCAGAGTGCTGAAGCCTGAATGCACTAGCCAGAGTCTGCGGTGAAATACAAAGGGAAGGTGCTGGGTTTCCTGTCTCTGTGTGGAGCTCTGTTTCCCACATCAGCCTGTGCCTAGTAGGTGGGTGGCAAATGAGATTAAACCCTGCCCTCCTCCATCTGCTGGGAGGGACAAGGAGCTCTCACCTTTTCTCTGTTCTATGAAGCCTCCTGGCCACTCTGAGCAGGGTGGGGATGGGATTCTGCTCCTTTGGCCTGCCCAGAGCTGTCCTATTTTTGTGCTGCTTCCCCCATGAATAGTGGGATTGTGGCTGGGGCACCAGGCACTGAGTGGGAAGCACCTGTTGTTTCAGGTGCCAGTGACCTTCGAGGAGGTAGCTGTGTATTTCACTGCTGGGCAGGGGGCTCTGCTGGACCCCGGTCAGAGAGCGCTCTACAGGGACGTCATGCAGGAGAATTATGAGACTGTGACCTCGCTGGGTAAGGATTCATGTCCCCTCAGCTATTTGAAACCATGGGGTCTGCATTTCTGAATCTGGTCAGGTTCTTCCCTCGCAGTTTGATTAGAGGGGAATGGGTTGCGTAATCCACAACTCCAGTGTGAGAGAGCCATCACCTCCATACTCCCTCCAGTGGGATAGGGGAGTCATAGACCAAATGGACATGCTAATTTATCCCCATCCATCCATCTGTAATAGGATGATACACTGCTTCTGTCCCCATCTGTATTAATTCTCACTCACACACAGGATCTCTGTGCACCTCTCTTCGTACGACTAGCTCCATGTCTGGGGAGGGCTCCCTTCTTGGAAATAGCTCTATCTGTGGGGATGGATCTGGGCTCTGGAGGTTTAGACATAGGCAGAGGTTTAACACCAGAGCTTTGTGTGCCTCAGCAAGTCTCCCAAAGCCCATAGATCCTGAAAACTCCTAGTGAAGGTATGACAACTCCGCCTCCCCCAGACATCTGCCTCTCCCAAGGGGGCTCAGTGACCACATGCCCATCTGTTCACATCCCACAACTCCCCAGCCAATCATGGGGTCAGTTTAAACTCAAGACGGTGTTCTTTGTGACAAATATTGCCCCAATCCTCATTGCACTCGGATCATGCCTGATTTCACCCCCTGAGCAGGACTCCCCATTCCGAAACCTGCCCTGATTGCCCAGCTGGAAGCAGGGGAAGAGCCGTGGGTCACCGATCTCCAGTGCTGCGAGGAAAGGAAGATCCCAAGAGGCACCCGCACAGGTGAGGAGACAGTGACACTGACTCGGAAACTATATTGCAAATGAAGGGAAAAGCTGAAAATCCCCAAAATGTGGTGTGAGCCCCCTCAGTTCTGCCTTATCTCACCCAGGTCTGGTGTGGTCAGCAACTGTGTTCCCTGTAAGCTGTGCGGTTGCGTGGCCGCGCAGGAGAAATTCAAATGCCGCCCAGCTGGTTAGCAGAGCGCATACATCTGGCAGCATGTGTTCAGGTGCCCCTCCCCCCACATTGTTCCATCCTGCAGCTGCTCCTGGGACCCTCCTGCTAGATGTGCAGGGGGGTGCTGATGTCAGGGTGTCCCTTTCCCCCCGCCCCTGTACCCCATCTCCGCAGAGCAGGGAACACAGCCTAGCTCAGGACTCAGAGCTGCTGCGGTGAACGGTGAGTGAGTGAGTGCCTTTCTTAAAGAGACAGTGCACTGTTTCTGAGATTTCCCCAGCAGGATGCTCACGCAGTCTCTGTCTGTCTCTCACACACACCCCACACCCCCCCAACGCCACACAGTCTCTTTCACACTCACCCCCCAACACATACTTGTGGTGGTGTTGGTGTTACTTCTTGGCACTTCCTGCAATGCACATATATTCTCTGTAATTTTATTCTTTCTAAGTGTGTTACGTTAGTGTTTTGACTGGTCTATGCATTTCATAATTTTTATTTCTCTTACACTTAAATTTAATTCTTTGAGTAGTGAGTTCTAAAATGCTTAACCTGTCCTGGCTGGAGTAATTATCCCTATGGTAACTTTTTAAAAATATATATTACATCTAGGTTTTTTGTTTCTACTGGTGGCGCACATCCACACATACCTTGGTGCACATAACAAAATTTATTCCACACATGGATGGAAAAAATTAGAGGGAACCTTGGTCAGCAGGTGTCGCATCATCATGACAGATATCGCTCATGGCTTCCCACCCATCCTGTTAGCTCTCAGGAGTTTTCTCCCTGACTTCACTTCCCTGTCAGTGGTTGGATGGGATGTGGAGGCAGAATCCAATTTTGCAGTCTTCCAACAGTTACTGCATTGTGTTTTCCCTCTTTGCTTTTCACTTTTGTCCTTTCTGCTAGCCGGGGCGGCTCTAGCTTTTTTGCCGCCCCAAGCATGGCAGGCAGGCTGCCTTCGGCGGCGTGCCTGCGGGAGGTCCCTGGTCCCGCGGATTCTGCGGCATGCTTGCGGGAGGTCCTCCGGTCCCGCGGCTTCGGTGTACCCGCCGCCGAATCTGCAGGACTGGCGGCCCTCCTGCAGGCATGCCGCCGAAGGCTGCCTGACTGCCGCCCTCGCAGGGACCGGCAGGGCGCCCCCCGCGGCTTGCCGCCCCAGGCATGCGCTTGGAGTGCTGGTGCCTGGAGCTGCCGCTGCTGCTAGCCCAAGCAATGAATCCTGTCTTGATTCTCTCTCTGCCCCAGCAGATGATGGGAGAATGAGTGAAAATGAGGAGGGGAATCCACAGCGGGAAGGTCCTGTGCAAGTGGAACTGCAGAGGAACTTTTTGAGAAGAGCTGAAGAGAACTTTTCCCAGTTCTTGGAACAGAGAAAAGCCTGGTGTAATTGGCACAGGTCAGAGAGGAAGCTGGGAAACCACCCAAGAAAGAAAGTGCATGAATCCATTGAATGTGGTGGAGAAGACAAGGATTCCAAAGAAACCACAACCCAGCAGACAAATCCCAAAGAAAAGAAACCCTATAAATGCTTGGAATGTGGAAAAACCTTCAATTGGAGCTCAAATCTTACTGCCCATCGGAGACTGCACACGGGAGAGAAACCGTATAAATGCCTTGAGTGTGGGAAAAGCTTCAGTCAGTGCTCAGGCTTTACTAGCCATAGGAGAATCCACACATGAGACAAACCCTATAAGTGTCTTGAATGTGGAAAAAGTTTCAGTGCATCATCAGCCCTTATTACACATCAGAGAACCCACACGGGAGAGAAACCCTATAAATGCTTGGACTGTGGGAAAAGCTTCAGTCAGCGCTCAGGCCTTATTAGCCATGGGAAAATCCATACGGGAGAGGGACCATATAAATGCCTTGAGTGTGGGAAAAGTTGCAGTGCACCATCAGCCCTTATTACACATCAGAGAACCCACACGGGAGAGAAACCCTATAAATGCCTTCAGTGTGAGAAAAGTTTC